TGACCTCTGCCTCATAGGAATCAGCCTTGGGCTATTGATTTTGTTCCTTTTCCCACCTCACGAAGTTAGAGAAGGTCATACACCACAGCCACACCATTTGTACAGTTTTCAAGATTGTCTTGTCAATTGTTGGTCTCTTTAATTTCCACATGAATTTTGAAATTAACTTTTCATTTCTGCAAAAGAGGCAGCTAGGATTTTGATAGGGATTGTACTGAATCTGTATTTCACCTTGAGGAGTGCTGTCATCTTAACAAGATGACCTTAGTCTTCCAGTTGAGGAACATGGATGTCTTTCCACTCATTTAGACTTTCTTTAATTTCATTCAGTGATGATTCATAGTTTTCAGCGTGCAGTTAAGTATTTTTCCTCCTGAAATTTTTGCCTAAGTACTTTATTCTTTTTGATGCTATTGTAAATGGAATAGTCTCCTTAATTTCATTTTCAGATTGTTCATTGATACTATGTAAAAATACAAGTGATTCCTGAATATTAATATTTTGTCCTTCCACCTTGCTGAAGTCATTTGTTAGCTGTATTCATTTTGAGGAATAGAGATGAATGTCCTCAAACTGATAAGGAGCATCCACAGAATCTTATAACTCACATTAAGTAAAAATCTACAGACCAGAAAGCAAGAAATAGAACTCTTCCTATATGCAAATAATGTGTTTGTTGGTATAGAAAATTCCAAGGGGGAGGGAAGAAAAAATAAAACAAAACAAAAAAGCCTTATTAGAAGTAATAAGAAGTAATATGTAATGAGCAGAAAAGTAAATTTTGGTTTCTACGTACTAGCAATGAACACGTGGACAGTAAAATTCAACATACAATGTGATTATAATCTCTCAAAAAATGGGATACTTGTGTGTCATATTTATGAAACATGCATGTGACTTTGATGCTGAAAATTACAAAACAATAATTGAAAGCAATAAACAACTATGTAAATACATGGATAGATGTGCCATGTTCATGGGTGAGTAGACTCATCATAGCAAAGATATCAAGTGGTGGAAATAAGGTTATGTGAATAGGATGAAAGTTTGCGGGATCTGGTAGATATTTGAGGTGCATGTGTGTGTGGTTTGTATACTCTGACAAGACTTGGTTCAGCCAAGTTGTTCCTTCTTTTTCCTGGTGTTTCTTGCCACAAACTCAATCATGCTGGAAAAAATCCCCTTTTCAAAACAGGTTTGTTTTCAAAACAATGTGAGTATAACCCCCTTGTTGATAAAACTGGTACATAATTTCTATCCTGGTCATTTTAATTCAGGAAAGTGGTACTAGCTGAGTGGTAAGATTAGGCATGGCTTTCATATTGTTTTCCGTCTCATGCACATGTACAGCTTTTCTCATCACACTTATGCATTCCCTATCATTTGAGGCCACGAGTCAGCTTTGCCCAAGGGAACGCCCCACAGATGAACTAGGAGGGCAGCTGGTGTCTCTCAAAGCACAAGCCTTGGGCTGGAAAATGGGGAATGGATAACACAGATGATGAAACCTGGGGTCACAAAGCACATGAAGCAAGAAAGTTGGATAATGATTTTTCTCCTAACTTCAAGCTCCCTTGGGCATAAAAGACCAATGCCTGGTGATTTCCTTCCCTATTAGGGATTAAATTGTGTTCCCCAAAAAATATGTGTTATAAATCCTAACACATGTGTGTGTGGGGTATAATGCCAGTGGGGAATGGGTTACTTTGTTATTTGTTAAAGCATTTGGCCATTAACCTGAAGGTTAGGTGTTTAAACATTCCATGGCAGAAAGATGAGGGAGTCAGCTTCAGTAAAGACTGACAACCTTGGAAAGCCTATAGGGGAGTTCTGCTCTGCGCTGTAAGGGCTGCATGAATCAGAACACACTGGTAGGCAGTGAGTTTTTCCTGTTGTGCTAAATAGACACCATGAGTGTTGGCTGTGTTAAATGAATCTCCATTGAGACACAAATGAGTAAATTAGGATCCAGAAGTAAGCACAGTTGGGGGCCATAGATGCCATGCCACAGGAAGATCCCCAGGAGTCCAGGAATAGAAGCTGGAAAGAGACAAAGACTTTCTCCCAGAGCCAGCAGAGAGCTAGCCTTCCTCTAGAGATACTGCCCCAAATTCAGACTTCTAGCCCTCAAAACGCTTAGAAAATAAATTTCTGATTGTTGAAGCCACCCAATTTGTGGTGTTTCTGTTACAGAAGCACTAGATATTAAGACATTCCGTAAACCAGAAAGCATGAGAGTTGACAATGGCACACAGCAACTGAACCTGAGGGGCGGCCTTCACCACAGCCACCACCTGAGTCCTTCCCTGGGGCCTCCAACCAGCCCAGTTTTGATTTGGTACATGTGGGCTTTGTGGAGAGAGAGGTCAGGATTATAGTGGAGGTGTGAGGCATAGGGACAAGAGGCCTGGCATGAGAAATGTGTGGCAACTGTGGCCCTAAATGGATGATGTCTGACATCCTATTGCCAAGCTGAGTCCTCAAGTGCTCCTGTCTGTCAATTGGATTGTCTCTGGGTCTGTGGGTCTGCTGTTTGGAGGGGGAAAGACAGCGACTTCTCTTCAAAATGTCAAGTGATGTCATTTCATATGGTCCAAGGAACAGACTCATCTCTGCACAAAAGAGAGGACTGTTGACCGTCAGTCTCACCAGAGCCCTCAGTTAGGAGGGACAATCAGCAAGGATGGGTGATGCAGGGAGTGAAGAGAGAGAATAGTGGTCAACTGGGCCGAGAAGTCCTGGGCCCTCTCTGGGTGCCTGCCCTGTGCTTGACCCCAATGACCCCAGGACGGTTCTCACCGAGAGCATTCCTGGCTCTCAGCTGCAGATTGCAGCAAGCTGGGGTCTGCCCAGGATGTAAGGGTCTGAGGGGCTGTGGCTGAGCAGCTCCTTCTCCATCCAGGGGCCCCAGAGCTGCCCCTCCATCAGAGCCCACCTTCCCCCATTGCTGCTGGGCCTCAGAGGATGGTCTAGGGTAGAACTCTTCCAGAAAAGGCCCTGAAGGGCCTGTCTAATATAAATGATTGACATCTCCCCCCAGCACCTAAAGGCATCTTATACACCAGGGAGGGGCACCCTGACTGAAAGAAGAATATGCCTTCCTATCACAGGTGAATTGTCTCCTGATATTTCACAAAGATAATGTTCTACAGCCTAGTTTAGTGAGTAGCATGTGGGATCTTAAAACTTGCCAGTGGCCGTCTAAGATACAACTACCGGTTGCCATTCTCAAGGAGCAAAAAGAATGACAGAAATCAAATGCTCCAAGAAGAAACTAGTCCACAGGACTACTAGTCCACATACATGAACTATAGCCTCTTTGAATCTAAGACCAACAGAACTAGATGGTGCCTGGTTCCCACTACTGATGGCTCTGACCAGGGACACAATATAAGATCTCTGAGAAAATGGAAGAAAAATATAGAACAAAACTGAAATTTTAAAAGAAGGTTAGATCGACTGGACAAATAGAAATTGGAGGAACCTCAGAATTTATGAGCAAAGCCTTTGAAATTGTATTTGAAGCTCTTTCCGCATGTTACCTTTCAGCCATAAGGTTTACAAAATAAACAGCATCACCTGTGAGTAATGGCACCCTTAAACAATGCACTATATGAGATCACATGGTCAACATTTACCCAAAAGCAAAGATGAGAAGGCAAGGAGGGGAAGGGAAGCTAGATCAATGGAAACAGAACAAACAGAATGGAAAGAATGAAAATGCTGACACCTTATGAAAATTGTAACCAATGGCAAGGAGCCATTTGTGAAAACTGTTAAAGAAGGACCTTATTCCCCACATGAACTTTCACCTAAAACACAATAAAATAATAAAAAATCATAATTGAGTAATTCACTGGGGTCATAGACCAGCCCCAGGGTCATCAGGGTAAGAGAGCAACCTCACGCCTGGAGCCACAGCTTGGGCCTTCAGGTCGGTCTGGGATGGGAGTCCCTCCTCTGCACTTTCCCAGAAACTTGCTTCCCCTCTAGGATCTTCCCTCTCCCCTCAGCAGGGCAGTGCTAGTAATGCTTGCTTCAGATGGATACAGCGTGGATTTGACAAAAGGTGCAACGTCAGTCTTTATTTTGAAAAGAAACAGAGGAACTGGGGACAAATATACAGAAGAAAAGCCCTTTGGGTGGATGAGTGTCACTCTATGAGGTCAGCTGTGGGATCCTGGGGCATGCTGGGCCTCTCCCCTCAGTCACAGGCCAGAGAAGTGGGAAAACAACAAGGATAAGGAAGATCACAAGAGCCAAGGCTCTTAGGGATTTCATTTGGAGGACCGTGGATCATTTCATGAAGCTGTCTTCTGGGACTTTGATCACAGGCTGGAGGGAAGGAAAGGAGGAGGTGGGGCATCATCAGAACCAGGAACCCTGAGTGTCACCACACGCCACCCGGACTCCATTCACTTGGCCCGGATTCCCAGACATCACTATGGATAAAGCAAACACATGAGAGGCTCTGGTGTCATCCCAGATGATGTCATGAAAGCAGTTGGGGTGGAGGAAGGATGGGAGTTACCACTCGGACCAAAGTAGACACACTGATCACACAGGGCCACATCCTAATCTATGTATTAGAATGTAGGTAATGAACACAGCAGAATGAGTGCTGTTTAAGGTGGAACACTCCTGGGAATGCCAGTGTCTGTCAATGAAAGATCAGGGTCCATGAAATTCAGTAAGTACTGTGACCTGTTCAGAACTACTAAATAGTGTAATACGTACTGTGTGAGAAAGATGCTCTGTGTGAGAATGAATGAAACAAGACTCATTGTCACACTGAGCATCTGTAAAGAAACAAAACACATTACAGGTGAATTCCCATCCTTCACTCTCCAGCTCCTTCCCACTCACCCCCACCTCCACCCACTCCCAGCACTCACTTCTGAAACCACTCCAGGTCCATCCCAGACTGGGTGGGGGACCCCACCATCATTTCCTGCTGCTCCTGGGAGAGGGTGGACATGGAGGTGGAAGAGGGTGTGAATACTGGGGTGGAGAAGGCACTCAGGAACTCTTTGGGGCTGGCATCCCTCACAGACAGTTGGTCGTTCATGATACGTAGGCTGGAGGGAGAATGGGCCCTCAGAGAGCTGGACAGATGGACAGATGGACACCCCTACACCCCCAACAATGATCCTACTCTCACTGAGCAACCATTTTCCTTCCATCCCCTACTCTGCCTCCCTCCCAGATTCCATGGCTGTACCCTTTCCCCTCCCATAGAAACTGTCTTTAGCTTCACTAGATTTGTTGGATTAATCGAACTGAGAGACAGTTTCACACCCACCTTTACTATTCACAAGAGCCCAAGGAGGTTCATACTCTAATCTTCATATTCAGAGGAAGATACCGAGTCACAGAGAGGTTGTGTAATATGACCAAGGTCACACAGCTGCTGAATCTTGAGGTCAGGATAAGAACACTCTTATTCCTATCCCACAGCTTAGCCCTTAACCACTAGGTTATCTTGCTCCTGGAATGTACATTTTGGAATCCTGCAATTATGCGGAACCCCTGAGAACTACGCTGTCATCTTCACACACCACTGGCTGCAGGCTGGCACAGGTGTTCCCAC